GGGCTCTGCCGGGACCTGCCGGACCCAACCGCCTCCCCAGCTGTGCCCGCCGGGCCCCGCGCTGGCACGCCGCGGCACGGCACCCATTGGTCCCACCGGCACCCGGCTGTTCAGCACGCCAGTGCCTGCTGAGGCACCAAAAGGTCCCTGCCCCATCCCAACCTCCACCGCCTCAACAGACAGCAACGCACGGAGCCTCCAAAGCACAAGAGTTTTAATAAAAACGGCTGTGTTACTAATATTACGTACAGATCAAACATCAGGAAAAACAGTAGAAATGAGGAAAAGACCAACAATCGTCATCTTCATAAATACCAGGGCCCAGTGTGCCCGGGGCTGTGCGCCCGCTGGCACCCAGGAGGGGACACAAGCACTCGCACACACTCGCACACACACGTGGCCCCGAGCTGCTCGAAGCAGGGGGTCGGGTTTGACCCCCCCTACGAAGCACCCAGTGTCTCCCAGACCTCCAGCATTAAGACGGGGGCCACCAGGATGCTGCCCCCATCCCAGGCAGTGTGAGCCCCTCGGTGGCAGTGTCGCTGCTCCATGCGGAGGGGAACCAGCCCCTTACCCCCCAACCCGTGGGTGCTGGCGAGGAGCAGGGCAGGCAGGCAGACCACATGTGGGCTCCTGCAGGAACAGGCAAGGCGAGGGTCTTGGGGACGAGCCGCATACCCAAGGACATGTGTCCTCTGCCCTCCCACGAGCTCACGGGGACCTGGCTCTCCAGTGCCAGCACGGGGCTCTGATGGAGCCAGAGCCAGTGGGAAGGATGCTCGGCCACCGCACCGGGGCTCTGCCAGTGCCACTGTGGCATAAGGGGCAGGGAAGCAAGGGTAGGGAGGCTGAGTTCAAGGGTTCTGTCACCACCGAGAGGTCCCCACTCCTCCCGGGGCACAGCCAGCGCTCCCTCCCCATCCGGCATCACCCGCTTGTGAGCAACCTGTCCCCGGCGCACGCCACCACCGCAGCACTGCTACACGTTGGAGACCTGCTGGGACTCCCTGGCCTGGCGCAGCCCGTACAGCCACTTGATGACGCGGGCATTGCGCTCAATGATGGAGATGCCATAGGGGACACGTTCAGCTGGCTGCCCCTCCGGCGTGGCGACACTGGGCGGCGAGCAGCCGCCCTCTGAGCTGGCCGTGCTCACGCTGTGAAACTTGAGGGACACGATGTCAGAGCTGGCGCGGGCGAAGTGCTCAGCGCCCATGTCCTGCACCTCCTCGGGGTCAAGGCCGCAGTAGTTGAAGAAGCGCTCCAGGTCGGCGGTGGCCCGCGAGAGCCGGTCGCTCAGGTCCGTCTTGGAGCGGTGCAGCACGGGCTGTCGACGGGCGCTGTCGGGGCGGGCGGGCGAGATCCGTGCTGGGGTTGCAGGCAGCCCGCCTGGGACGGGGGATGCAGGCACTGGTGTCACCTGGCCCTGCAGAGCACCGCAGGGACGGACATCCACCCTCCGCACGGCCACACTGCCGGGGGTCTTGGTGGCAGCGGGGCTCTCGGGCAGCTTGCTGGCACCCTCCGCCCCACCGCCCCGTGCCACCGGTGCCTCCACCCTCCACTTGCCCTCCCGGCCCAGCGGCCTCTC